GAGTATGTGAACATGAAAAAGATATGATTGGCGTATAATATGAGAAATTGTTTAGTTATGCAAAGTGTATGTTTAATCAGTTATGATGAAGATTTAAGGTTATGTTTCTTGGTCAAAGTGGATGTAGTCAGAGAAATGAATAAAGATTTATATGTATAAGGAAGTTTGGAGTCAGTCAAGTAAGGATGAAATAAAAGTTTGGTGATTATGAAAGACAATTGAAGATTGACAAGGAATTGATTGATTTATGAGTTTGAGTAATAAGAATTAATGTTATTGTCTATCTGATAAGTGACATGATAGGATATAAAGTAAAAGGTAGTCGAATAATTGAAAAGATAAGAACCAAGTTATTAAAGATGATACAAAAGATTAAGTTCAAAAGCAGCATGAGAACGTTAGAAGATATGTCCTTTTCAGGATGTGCAGTGAAAATTCGAGGACGAATTTTTTTAAAAAGGAGGGGAGATTTGTAACATCCCAAATTATGGGTTAGTGACCAAATTGTAAAGTTTCAGAATTTGATGACTAAAGTAGAAGAATGAAGTAGTTCAATGATTATTGGATATATGATGATGGTTATTTAGTAATTATTAAAGGAAATAAAGGGTAGATAACTCTAGCCTCTTATCTTCTTCCTCTTTCCAACCAAGAAACCAAAGCTTCCTCATTGGCTCGGCCGAAAAATTCAAGCCTAAGCCTCGACACGGACGTAAAAATTATGGGTTAGTGACCAAATGTAAGTTTCAGAATTGATGACTAAAGTAGAAGAATGAAGTAGTTCAATGATTATTGGATATATATGATGAAGGTTATTTAGTAATTATTAAAGGAAATAAAGGGTAAAATGGTCATTTGATCATTTAAGGAAAAAAATGGAATTATATACACGTGGAAAGGGAGAGAATTCTCCAGAGTTCTCTTCTCATTTCTTCTTCTTCACGTGGAAGCAAAGAGCAAAGGTAAGTTTGATTTATCTTTTGATTTCTTGAAAGTTTTAAGTTGGATTTGAGTCTTTGAGGGTTATATAAGCCTAAGGAAAGCTTATATAAGTTTAAAACACCAAAGAGATAGAATTAGAAAGGAATTTCTATTAAGGGTTTATAAATGAACTTTTGTTATAGAAAGGTTTTTGAAGTTCTAAAGTTGGATTTGACTTGCCATCAGCTTAATTAAGAAGTATTAAGTGTTAGAATGGATTTAAACATGTGGAAAATAGGGTATGATTCTTGAAATTCCTAAAGAGGAGAGGATATAAGGTTAAAGATGAGATAAATGAATATTAATGAGTTTAATTATGTACATGAAAGTTAGGAATATGAAAGGGGTTGAAATATGAAGGATTTAATCCAAAAAGAAGGATTTTTTCAGGTTCAAAAAGAGGTTCTGGGCAGAGTGCATCGATGCATATTCATAGTGTACCGATGCATCAATGTTAAAACCCAGAAATTGTTTGAAGGTGTATCGATGCATTGGTAGTGCATCGATGCACTCTTTTAAAATAAATACATCGAATGCAATTTGTGCATCGATGCATAAGTAGTGCATCGATGCATCCCATTAATAAGGAAACATCGAATGCAATTAGTGCATCGATGCATAAGTCATGCATCGATGCATCCCAGTAATAATACAACATCGAATACATTTTATGCACCGATGCATCAGTAGTGCATCGATGCATACCTTCATTAAAAGATGAAATTGACTTTTCTCTTGGTCTAAAGAGTGAACCATTAGATATAGTTATAATAATAATATAGATCTACGTATGATGATGTAGATATAGAACGTGATCCCGTTTCGGATCAATTGAAGGATTATAATCGAATCAAAGCAAAGTTAAGGTGAGTGCACATTCTCTAGTATATGAGGTTCAAGGGAAAATAAGACTTGTGATAAGTCTATTTCCAATAGTGAAAAACATGAATTCATAGAAGTATGTATTTGTTATGATTTATATGTGTGCATGGGTATATGTGTATTGATATGAATATGGTAAGTAAAAGGGATTAATGGTGATGATAAGAATAATAATAAGGATAATGAAGTGATAGGTATATGTGAATATATGTATTGATATGTTTGTATGTATTGTAAGATGATATGTTTATGTGATAACATGATAAGATGACAATGAGTTACATGTCATATGAACACATGAGAAATGTTATGAGCCATATGAAAGAGAAAGTATATGTGATACATGAGGGTGAATCCTATGTGACATATGAATATGAATTCATATGAAAAGTGACATGAATTACATGAAAGAAACTACGTGATTACATGTATATGTGAATGAAACCATGAGCTTATATGAATATATGTATGGTTATATGAATATGTAAAAGGATATAAAAGATAATCCCATGTTATGTGTCATGAGAGCTAGGGGTATAGTTGGCATGCAAGAGTCGAGGGTCTATGTGGTCCTTCGGGACATATATGTATTCTTTGGAACATGTGTGAAGTCTGGTGAGACACATACTTGATCCTTGGCATATATATGATTCTTAAGGAATGATATGTGGTCCTTCGGGACATATATGTATTCTTTGGAACATGTGTAAGTCTGGTGAGACACATACTTGATCCCTAGTATATGTATATGATTCTTAAGGAATGATATGTGGTCCTTATGGACATTATTATATGGCACTACGGTGCAATTCTACGCGGCACTCCGGTGCAATTCTACGTGGCACTTCGGTGCAATTATATGAGATGTGGTGACAGCATTAGTGCACAACCTCTATGTACTCGCATATCTTTAGTTCTCACATGAGTATCATGGGCTATTAAATAGATAATATTAATAAAGTGATAGGATAATATGTTTGTTCCCTTGTGGAATTTCATGTGTGATTGATTGTACAAATGGTAACTTATAAGACTATATGATGAAAGGAATCAATGATAGTGATAAAATAAGAAAGAAATGAAGATGATAATATAATTGATTGGGTGTACGTGTTTATGATAAATATATATATGGTTTACATGACATGGTATGTGTATGTGCAATTGGTTATGGTATATGTTATATGATATGGACATAAGAGATCATAGGAACATGAGATAAGATATATGAATGATAATGACATATATGTATGCATATATTCGTTACATGTAAAAGTATGAGTGGTATGAAATGATAGTAAGAATTGTTTAGGTATGATTATTAGTTACCGTTTACCTTATATGTTTATATGCCTCACTAAGTCTTTGACTTAGCGTGTAAGTGATTTACACGTAGGTTTCGAGAAGAGGAAAGAGCAATTTGGAGCAAGAAAGGTCAGTTCTCCTTACTAAAGGTCAGATCAGAAAAGATGTGAATAATATGTATTTTAGTATATAAAGTTCTAGTTGGCATGTTTTCCAAAAGAATCTATTGTTTAAGCTATGAACCGTTTTATAAATGTTTCGAATAGTTATATGGAAATAATAAGTGAAAGATACATGCTCTGATTGGTTTTGTAATAATGAAAATGTCTTTTATGTAAACGAGTCATTTATATGTTATAAAAGTTTTGATTACTCACTATTTTATACTAATAAATGTTTGAAAAGTCAATGTGACACTTCGGACTCGTATCCGGGTCGGAAACGGGTTGGGGGTGTTACAGTAAATCGGTGGCCAAACACTTTTCCGATCATCCCCACACAAAACCCGAACCTAAAATTTATCCTAAAAAAATTAAATCCCGATTTGGTATTAAACTACCAAAAACGAGACTGAAAATCTCAAACTTTCCTCTGATTTTTCAACCGATGTTTCCCCGACGACCTAGACTCCGACGAAGAACTATGAACAAGGTAAAATCGTTCCTTTATATTTCTGTTTTTTTTTTCTTACTGATTTTTTTTATTTCGAATAAAATAATATAAAATATAAAATATCAAACTGAAAATAAAGTCCAAATGTAAACATAAACTTTGCTATATTTTTCTTTCTGATTTTCTTTGTATTGGTATTGATTCCTCTATAAAAAATTACATATTGTTCTAGGGTTTTTATAGCTCAGTTTACAAAATAAGAATCAAAGATGATTTTCTCTTTCTCCTCGCATGTGTGGCTGCTGTTGGTGCGCGTGGAGGGGCAGCTGGTTTAGTGGAAGTTGCTGGTGCTGAAATGTGGAGGACTAGCTGTTGTTGGTGGAAGCTACTGGAATGATGTTGTGGTGGAGGGACAGGTGTTGTTGAAGTGCTGGCAGCAGCTGGAGGCTAAGGTAAAAATGGTGATTACACTTAATTATTGTGCTTAAACTTGAATGCCAAAAAATACACTTTCAACGTATGCAGTCTATACTTCTAAAACATAGTTCTTATATAAACCTTCGCTTCCACCTAATTTTGCGGGTGTACTGGCAATACTAACAAATAATAATATGTTTCTCAACGTGTTTAATCTTCTAATAAGTAAAAGCTTCGAGAAGGTAGATGCAACAAATCCTCTTATTATATTAGCATGGCATCCACCAACATTTAGGTATATTTACATATATCAATGCAAAGCAATAGCTTATCGTGTCCATCCTGATATTTGAATTGTCTTTCATTACTTATTTATTTTATTGATCGAGTTATCTTGAATTTTTTTGTATTTACCTTAAAATCTGAGTTTTTTTTTATTAATTACTTATTTTATTAACGGTATCCATTCTAAAATTTTATTTATATTCACCCCATTTTAAAAAATTTATATTATTAACATATATGTACATACTTTCAAAAGTATTTTTGGATCACTATTATATAATAATATTAATTTGGAATAAATGAATTATAATTTAGCTTTGAAAGGACAAAGAAATTCATATTCAAAATGAACCCATTAGTTTAGTGTGATTTATCTGTGGTGACTTCAAGAGGTAAGCTCTCACCTAGCTTGGATTCATATGGGTTCCTGTTCCACCTGCTTTTAGCCACAAGTGCTCCATATAAAGAACCAACAATACTACTCACTACAACAAGAAAACAGAAAATAAGAGTGATCAATGGCTAACTCCGGCATAGCATCTCGATGGAGAAAACTGAGCGGCGAGGACAGCTGGGATGGTCTACTCCATCCCCTAGATCTCGATCTCCGTCGCTACATCATTCACTACGGCCAAAGGACCGGCTCCGTCGGAGACCTTTTTAATTACAACAAACACGGTCAACTTCCCAAAGAGAGGTTTTTCCAAGAGGCCGGCCTTGTAAAAGGAAATGAGTTCAAGTACTACGTGTCTCATTACATTTATGCAGGTTCGGAAGTCGTTAATCCCGCGTAGTTTGGGTTTGTGGCAGTGACCACGGACGATGGGAAGCGTGTTCTTGGAAGGAGAGACATTTTAATTGCTCGGAGAGGAACCGTAACTTTCTCCGAGTGGCTTAATAATCTCAACTCCACTCAACAATCTGCTGAACAACTGTTCGGGACTGAATCTGAGGCAATGGTGCACTCCGGCTTCCTTTCTCTCTATACAGAAACAAGGTCGGATTCTATTGATGTGAAGACGAGTGCCATACGCCAGGTAATTTATCTGAATATGTTAGGGTGAACAAAATTTAACTTGATTTGAAAAAATTAAAATTTTAGACCCCATTCGACTTGATTCATGATTTTATAGACTTCGCTCCACTCGATTCTTACTATTTATTTGATCAGCTAAATACGCACGACTGCATGCATGCATGCACATGCAGGTACGTGAAGCCTTGAAAGAACTGCTGACTAAATACAAAGACGAAGAAGCAAGCACCACCGTCACAAGGTTTAGCTTGGGTGGAGTCCTGGCCACGCTCAACGCAATGGACAGTTGCAAATGGATCCAACAGGGCCAGTTCATATCATTTGCCGCCGTGCATGGTGACAGCCTTCACATACGGCGCTCCTCGCGTCGGAGGCTGTGGTCTGGAGAAATTATCCAGCAAACTGGATCATCTTCATATTCTACGCATTAAAAACGCAAAGGGCAACGTTCCAAAAATGCCATTTTCTCCCTACACCCATCTGGGGAAAAAGTGAACAGTTAATAGCAACAAATCAAACTACTTGAAATGGAATCCGCTGGATAGGGCATATACTGATAGTGATACGGAGGCGGAGGGTATAATAGAGAAAAGAAGCTGGGTGAATGACTTTTTCAGCGCTCACAATATGGACGTATAAGTGCATGCGATTGCAGGCGAGCACGAAGGATGCAAATTTCATCTGGAAAAGAATCGGAAAAGAATGGAACAAGAGGACCATGGTAAGAAAGTTGAGTATGGAGTTCCTACTTACTGGTGGGATGGTAGGAATCGGAAAAGAATGGAACAAGAGGACCATGGCCACTGGAAGGTTAAACCTCTTAATATTTAATCAGCTTGTGTGTGTTTAAGATAAGATATAAATAAGCGGCCTTCATAGTGGTCGCATTTCCTGTTTACTACCGGTGTTTATCGCGTTGTATAAATAACAGGGACTGTAATATAACAGTCTTTGTTTATGTTGTTTGATTTAATCATAATAAATTAATGTATTGTGTTTCGTCTGTTGTATTTTTTATTTTTTCGTTAACGGGGTGATAAGTGATGGTTTTGGTTAACGGGGATCAATAAGATGTGCTTTAGCTTAGTGTATTTGTTTGTCTTACTGCTGATAGCTGGTTTTGTAAGGTGTTGATAAGCCAATTCTGCTCTTTTTTTAAAAAAAAAACTTCGATTTTTTAGTTTTCTCAATTTAATTGTCTTTTGTTAAAATTCAAAACCTCTAATTTTATTAAAAAAATTAAACTAATATTATATCTCCTCGAAATCTTCTCCATGAGCTACAACTCTATTAGCATTCCTTTAAAGTTCTTCAAAGTCTTCAAATTTCTTTGAAGTCTCGAAATTCCATATCCTTTAAACAGTTATAACCTCTGACAAGTTCACATAATATACTAATTAAATTTATTATCTGATAGTCATATCTATTTACCCTATCAACCTACTAATAATTATAATTATTTAGACCTAACACTAACATTAAAGACTTGTATATAAATCATCATATAAAAATAAAAAATAAATAAATTCTCTCTTTTTATCTCTTTCAATTAGTCATCATTTTTCATAAAGCTATTATTTGTAATTCTTTATTCAAATTAGAAAAAGAACACTATCACAATCTCTCTTCTCTTCTCACCCATTGGTACAATAGCCTTGTATTTTTGGCCCAATAGGGTAGCCCGATAAAAAAATTTGTAAAATAGGACAAACACTTTTATTTTGGGATCTAGTATTTTCTATCATGCTGGGAATTATAATATTGAGGTAACGAGTTTTAATAAAAAAATATTTTTTATTCAAACTTTTTACCTCGATGTGATAAATTTTAATATAAAATTATGTTTTATTGGAACTCATCACCTCGACGTGATAAGTTTCAGCTCCACTATAGCATTTTTTGTATTCTCCAAAATAAAAACTCGGGTGCCCTAATGGGCTAAATAGAAAATCCGGATGCCCTAATGGGCCAAAAACCCCAATAGCATTTATATCCCACTTTAAATCTTAAGCCCAAAACTCTAGAGTCCAAGGTCAAAGTTGGGCCATTTATCACTTGGTTATGGAAGCATAGCAATAGCATTGGTACAAAATATGGATTTTTCTTTGTTTGAGTGGGTCATTTCTGTTATGGCGTCAAAATTCCTTCCTTCAAGACTTTCTTTGCCGCTCAACTCTCCACGTTTCCACATTCTTCCTTCAACTTCTGCCTCCGTCCTACTCCCAAACAAAACAATGATCCCAATGGCCTCTTCTTCTTCTTCTTCTTCTTCTTCTTCTTCGGCGTCATCATCTGTAAAAGACCCCACTAAAGAAGAAGAGCTGCAAGAAAAGATAGCTCAAGCCCTTACATACCATCATCAAACGAAGCACGGTTTCACCAACTATGCCAGAGGACCGCGTGGCCTTGATTGGGCCAATCAACCGAACCCTTTTCGCCGCTACATCTGTGCTCCTCTGCTTCCTCTTCTTCACTTCCCCACTGACAACAAACCGACGGTTGCAGTCACAGATGACGCTCCTATGTATTCTTCTCTGTTCCATTCTCTTCCTCCCCCTAAACCCATTACCCAATCCACGATCTCTCAATTCTTTTACGATTCTTTGGCTCTATCAGCTTGGAAAACCACCGGGTTCTCCACCTGGTCCCTTCGGGTTAACCCCAGCAGCGGCAATTTGCACCCCACTGAGGCTTACCTTATTGCTCCGCCTATTGACTCTATCTCCGATTCTCCTTTTGTTGCCCATTATGCTCCCAAAGAACACTCTCTTGAGCTTCGAGCCCCAATCCCTTCTGGGGTTTTCCCCAACTTCTTCCCTGATAATTCATTTCTCATTGGGATTTCTTCTATTTTCTGGCGAGAAGCATGGAAATACGGAGAACGCGCCTTTCGGTACTGCAACCACGATGTGGGTCATGCGATTGGAGCTATTGCAATGGCTGCCGCAACGCTAGGCTGGGACGTCAAGCTTCTAGATGGGTTTGGATATAAGGATTTGGAGAAGCTAATGGGGCTTCAGATTTTCCCGGACTTTAAAATCCCATCAAGACCGATCAAAGGCAAGTTTCCTGATATTGAATTTGAGCACCCAGATTGTTTGATTCTTGTTTTTCCTAATGGGAGTAATCAATTCGATGTGAATTATAAGGAATTGAGTTCTGCAATAAATGGGTTTTCGAATTTGGAGTGGAAAGGGAGGCCAAATTCGCTTAGCAAGGAACACGTTTGTTGGGATATAATTTATAGAACAGCCGAGGCCGTTAAGAAGCCACTAACGATTCAAAAGGGAGAATTTCCTGTTGATCCATATAAAAGCAGTGGAATTTGTAGTGAAAACTCTTACAAAGGTTTAACAATTAGGGAAGTTGTTAGGAAAAGGAGGAGTGCAGTTGATATGGATGGAGTCACTGTAATGGAAAGAAAAACATTTTATCAGATTTTGTTGCATTGCCTTCCATCAGGGAAGGGGGAGAAGCATAGAAGGCAATTAGCCTTGCCGTTTCGGGCTCTCTCTTGGGATGCTGAGATTCATGCTGCTCTGTTTGTTCATAGAGTGATAGGTTTGACCAAGGGATTGTACTTTTTGGTGAGAAATGAGGATCACTTAGAGGAGCTTAAGAAGGCTACCAAGTTGGAGTTTAAGTGGAATAAACCAGAGGGATGCCCCAATGATCTACCTTTATATGAACTTGCGACTGGTGACTGTCGAGAGCTTGCCAAATGCCTTTCTTGCCATCAGGTGTGTGCCATTTTGTTTATTGCTTTGTTCTTTGTGGTTTTATGTTCAGTGCCTGGACAAATTGTTAGGAAAGTGCTTGATTTGGGAAATAAAAAAATATTAATTATATGCTATTATCTCTAGTCCATCAATGCATGAAATTTAAAAACATAAGTACTGGTCATTAAATATGAATTTCGAGGTGGAGAAAAGCTTTTTGCAAAATTCTTGAGAGTGCAAACCTGCAAAGCATAGTTTCTATTGTAACGGAAATGCTGAACTTACACACAGGACATTGCTAGTGATGGCTGCTTCAGCCTTGGAATGGTGGCTCACTTTGAACCTACCTTAAGTGGGAAGGGTGCTTGGATGTATCCTAGACTGTTTTGGGAAACTGGAGTTCTTGGCCAGGTGCTGTACCTTGAAGCACATGCTGTTGGCATATCTGCAACTGGAATTGGTTGCTTCTTTGATGATGCTGGTAGGTCTTTCCATCTTCATCTTTATTCTAAACTAGTATTCCTAATCAATGGTGATTATACATGGTATCCTAGTCGTCTTATGAAGTTTTACATTAAAATAGGTTAGCTGTCTCATCCAGACTGTACTGCTTTCTTGGCAGTAGTTGTATAAGACTGGTCTCATCTTTGGTTACGGTGTTTAAGCCAGAGTCGATGAAATTTGTACATTAATTTGAGATATTTGCAATGGAATGGCGAGCATACTCCTTCCTTTTTCATGAATAACACAAAGCCTGCCCTTGCTCCATCCCCTATCTGTAAAGTTGGACCCATCATTGCCTAAAGATCAAACATGAGTAATGTTTTTTTTTTCTCTTCATTTTGTAATACTTTGCAGTGCATGAACTTCTTGGGCTTAAAGGATCAAAATTTCAGAGTCTATATCATTTCACTGTTGGAGGCCCTGTGTTGGACAAGCGGATTATGAGCCTGCCAGCATATCCCGGACCTAGCATCGATGCATGATCATGTTTAGTTCAAGATACAGGAAGCTGTTGATCATGGATTATCATCATTCGTGCATTCACCATGAAAGGCCTATTAAACCGTTTAAATTTCTTACAATCTCATGTTTGTTTCTAAATTGGTAGGTTATATACAAGGCTTTTCAGAATTGTACTGCAATATACTGATTTTTTTTTCCTTCATTGTAAATTAAAGTTGATTCATTTAGGTGATAACTTTGTATAGGGCAAATGATCTCACATTTTCATTTTACAACATCTGAAACTGTTCTGTTAGCAGTTCTCAAATTTAGTATTCAACATTAGAAGTTTTTCAATGGAGACCTGTGTTTTCCTCTTATTATTTAGAGGAACACAACCAAGACTGTTTACGCTGGTGTCATTGACTACAGTTTAAGCATATATATTTCTGTGAAGATGAGCAAGGAGCGGCAATGGGGATTTAGTTTGCATCTGATTGCTATAATTTGAGTTGCTAGTATAATTTTTAGTATAAAACTAAGAATTACATATTTATAATTTGATATTCCTAGTCATATATACACACAGGGATGGATCGAGAGGAGGTTGGTAGGGAGGTCATCCCTGAAAATTTTAATTTCTCATAAAATTTAAATAGGGTCTGTTTTCTATTGATTATTTGTTTTTACCCCCTAAATATTAAAGTTTGTTCCCTAAAGTTTTAAAAAGTTCACCTTACCTCAACATAAAATTATGCATACTGTATAAAAAACATTTTTTTGAATGATATTGACAAAAGGAGCTGTCATAAGTTAAAGCTATCCTTTTAGATATTGGGAAGAAAAATATACATGACAGAGTAATGTTAGCTAATAGCTGTGCTTACTTCATCCAACTATACGGAAATACATGCTTTGCTAGTAAGTAGAAACCCAACAAATTCCTTCCTCCGACTTTGAACAACTTCATCAAGCAATGCAAAAATTCTCCCCATCCAAGTTATATATATAGCATCATAATCACAGTATGTGTTGTTCTGGCTATGTACAAGTAGGTTTACACGGGTTCCGACCAAGCTTCTCTCATTTTTCTGAAAATCATTTCTCCATTATGATGCAACTGTTATCAGGTACTCACTTCTCATGACGTGCTTTTCGTACAGCCTGCTGGATTTGCCTCTCGTGTTCTTTCAGCATATCCTCGATGTTTCCTCCAGCAGGCAACATTGGTCCTGAGTATTGGATATTTTTCTTCCTTGGTGCATAAGCCTGCCAAAGATAGAATTTGTATAATATGATAATCTGCAATCTCATGGTCTCAGCTATTGTAAAAGTATGCAGAATGATTGTAGAAAACAACAATGATGACACGATGATGACAATAATAGTTAGAAATAAGCCGGAAACAGTTGGTTATTTACCGATGCAGAACCTTTGTTGGATGCTCCGTCACCTTTCTTAAGGGAACTGCTGGCTGCCTGAGACGTGTGTGTTGTTAATTCGCAGCTGTATCCTGCAGAATCTGCATCACAATTTGACTGTCCATCAGCAATGGATTCTGGTGTAGACACTGCCTTCAAATCTCTTGGACCTCTTCTAACAGATGCAGGTCCTTTCCCCTTTATAGTCTCTGCCCTTTTCCTGAAGTTACATTAAAAATCACAACAGTAATGGAAAAGATAATAGGAACACAGAACACACGAGTCTAGTTTGTATCTGAAAAATGAACCTTCTTGCTTCATCATCACGATGTCTGATGTCTAGTTCTTTGCTGGGAGCATACTTTGGCAAGCTTGATGGATCACAAGGTAAAGGCTCTGTTTTAAAGAACTGAGGAGGAGAAACAAAGTAAATTTAATTGAATGCGTATTTGAAGAAGTGGGGAACAATAGTGAACAGGCTTGATAAGTTGTATACATGTAGATGGGTGTACAAATACCTGAGATTTAAGTGCTGAGGCAGCGGTCCCTCGATTATCGGGTTCAAACGAAAGAAGCTTTTCGACAAGAGACAGTGCAGACAGAGGCAAGTTTTCGAAAGTTGCGGCGATCCGGCGATTGTAAGGCTTTTGAGGTTTGAAACTTGTTGCATGTGGAAGTTTTGTTTTCTTCCAGAACTCCTCTGAGGATGAACCACACAGCTTAAATATCTTATGCATTTGTTCAACCTCCGTTCTCCCAGGCATAATAGGCTTCCCAGCAAATAACTCAGCAAGTATGCAACCGGCACTCCACAAATCTACACTGACTCCGTATTTGGTGGCACCGAGCAAAAGCTCGGGTGCCCTGTACCAAAGAGTTACAACACGACTCGTTAGTGGCTGCTTCGGATCGGCCTGAAAGCATCTAGCCAAACCGAAATCCGCAATCTTAAGGACTCCATTGTCGCCTATCAGAAGATTCGAGCCCTTAATGTCTCTGTGCAGGACGCCACGGCTATGGCAGTGTTTGAGGCCACTAAACAGTTGTTGCATGTAACATTTAATCTACAGTAACAATCACATTCTTATAAGAACCAACAGAAGATAAAAGCAAATAAAACATTGAATGTATTTCACCTGTGGTTCGGTGAACTTGATGCCAGGACTTGCTGCAAGGCCTGCAAGGTCATGCTCCATGTACTTGAAAACAAGAAACAAGCTGCGCGGCGTCCGCGAAGCGATGATCCCTTCGAGCTTCATAACATTCGGATGATCAAGCTTCCGTAAAATAACGATTTCCCTAGCCATGAAACGAATACTCTCCGGGTCCATATTAACAAACTTAACCTTCTTCATGGCAACTATTTTGCCGGTTTCTATTACACGGGCCTTATATACACTACTGTAAGTTCCTTCACCAATCTGCATATACAAAAATCATGTTAAAAGTCTAGGTCATGTTCCAATGGTGGATCTAGAAATTAAAAAATAGGGTCCAAAATCTTTTATACTTTATACTAAAAAAATTAGGTATGCAAATGTTTTTATTTTTTCTATTCTCATTAACAAATTAAACTGAATTTAACATTTTTATCAAAATAATACTAAAATAATGAGTATGCAGTGTCTCCCTAAAGAACCACATACATCCGCCACTGTCATGTACAGGGATGGACAGACGGAGCTGACCAGGGCGGTCGCCCAGAGAAATTACCTTTTCTAACTTCTCGAAAGATTCAACACGACGAGGCTTCCATCCTTTAACAGCGTCTCCTGCAATTGAAGCTAGCCATGTTGGCCATTCGGCTGCATCATGTTGATCACAAATACTGACCTTTTCGGCCCCATCGTCTTCTTGAGAGGGTAAAGGAGCAACCACTTGCATTGATGACGCCTTGCCATTGCATTTCTTCTTCCGGTTTTTGTCCTTATTGTGGTCATCTTTGGCTCCCTTTGAGCAAAGGCATCCCATTATATTCTTTTTCCTAAATGATTCCTTGTTCTTGAATAGATAGCTGAATACATGCATCTCGCTAATATGTTTAAAACACAACCGTGTTTTAACCATGTATTAAACAGAAAGTAAAGCCTGAATTTAACACTCTTTCCCGATAATCAATGCATGTATTTATATTTTTTTTTTCAGTTTTTCAATGAAGATCTGAATAACTGCAGAATGATCAGAATGAATAATGCAGTATTTTTTTTTACAAATATCTAATGTTAGAAGAGAAATGAGAAAATGGGTGGTAGAACAAAACTACTAGGAAATCCAAAAGCCTGGGGAAATGAATGAAAACCCAGATAAAAATCTCAGGAATGAACACAAATATTAAAGTTATTTGTTCCCAGAATAACAAAAACCTATGTTTTTTTGTTTACCCTGGAACATAAAAGTGAAAGATGAAAGGAAAGAGACGACAATACTGTAGCAAATGAAAATAATAATAATAATAATAAAAGTGAGAAACTAAATGCAGGCGATATTCTGATATTAGCTCCTAAAACTGCGACAAACCAAAGATTCGGTTTTTTGTTTTTACTTTTGTTTCTAACTTCTCCTCGTCTGTTTCAATTATTTTAACTTAGTAAGATTTCTGTTTCCATTTTGTTTCTAACCACTTCACCCTATGAATAAGATTATTATATTATATAAAAATTAAAATTTTGCATACTTTTTTTATTAATACGAATACTCACTATCTTGATATTCAAATTCAAGATCTCAAAAAATAACAATAATTTATTCACTGTTGAAATAGCTTAGTTTGTACAGATTTTTTATATAATTTCATTTGTTTTATGAAATAGTTTTTATGTTATTTTATTTAATATTATTAATGACTTAAATAATCTGAGCTCCAAATTCATGTGCCATTACATTATTATTATTATTATTATTCTATTTGAATTTCCGGTCGTTGCTGGAGTTGGATTAGATGCTGTTTAACTTTCTAACTTGCCAACTTGTTTAGCACGTGTAAATTTAGTAGATTTTGACGTATTTGACCCCCTCCCTCTCTGGACCCAAATTACTTTGTACTCCTAATATTCTTTTAAGCTAGGGTAAATTTTATTTTAAATCACTTATTTTATTAAAAACTACGTTAATATATATTGTAATTATTAGTATTTGATGTAATAATTTATTAATTTAATTTAAATATTATTAAAAAATTTAAAATCTTAACTTAATTTATTTTATTTATAACACTAATATAAACGCGCACATTGTTAACGAACCATAAACCACACAAAAAAGGCATTAAGATTTAAGTCGGCCGAAATACCAAGTCCATTTAATATTTCTGCTGACAATCAACTCGTGAATTGGATAAATTATATAAATGGTCATCAAACCATTCTAAAATAATCTTTTTGGTTTGTATAGTTTGTTTTGATTCATAGCGCAATTGATGCTTCAGTTTATAATTGTCTAAAACCATCATTTTATATATTTATTTTATAATTTAATATTTTTTTTAACTTCTAACATCCTGCTTTATAGTTTTCCACCTAATGAGGCATATTTAAAGCGCACTCTCGTCTTTAAAGAATTTTATGGTTTAAAAAATTAAAATTTTATTTTTAATATAATTTTAACAATAAAATTTAATTATTTTAAATTTTTAGATTTATTCTTTAAAATATTAGAAAATTATAAGATAATTAGTAGACCAAATGAGATATGACTTCTTAATTTAATGTGCAACAAATAACTATAACCAGCAGTATAGTGACATTTTATAACTAAATCAAAAGTCTAATAATCACTTTATAAATTTAATGATTAAAGAATCATTTTAATATAATTAAGTGATTATGTACATAATTTATCTTTAAAACTAATAC